TGGTTTTCATTGTTATGGGTGCCCCCACTGCAGAGATCTATGCTCTCCAGCTATCCTACGGTTGGAACCCTGTGTCACCATGAACTCTGGATGGTCATTACTCGCCAAACATGTCAGCGAAAAAGCCTTTTTGAGGCCTGAATGAAACCTCTGGTTGCTGCAAGAACTGGCTGCCTCTAAATGTGACCATTGGAATTGGAGAAGTTGTAGTACTGCCTCTAAATGTGACCTCTGAAGTTGTAGTACTGCCTCTAAATGTGACAACTGGAGATGGAGTACTACCTCCTAATATGATAACTGAAATTAGAGTACCTCCTCTGAATGTGACAACTGGAGATGGAGTCCTGCCTTTATATGTGACAACTGGAGTTGGAGTCCCGCCTCTAAATGTGATAATTAGAGATGGAGTCCCGCCACTGAATGTGACAACTGGAGATGGAGTACTACCTCCTAATATGATAACTGAAATTAGAGCACTGCTTCTAAATGTGACAACTGGAGATGGAGTACCGCCTCTGAATGTGACAACAGGAGATGGAATCCTGCCTTTAAATGTGACAACTGGAGTTGGAGTCCCGCCTCTAAATGTGATAATTAGAGATGGAGTCCTGCCACTGAGTGACTGCAGTTGGAGTATCACCTCTAAATGTGACAATTGGAGTTGGAATCATACCTCTAAATGTGATAACTGGAGATGGAGTCACACTTCTAAAAGTGACAACTGGAGATGGAGTCACACCTCTAATGTAACAACTAGAGATGGAGTATCACCTCTAAATGTGACAACTGGAGATGGAGTCAAGCCTCTAAATGTGATAACTGGAGATGGAGTTACGCCTCTAAATGTGACAACTGGAGATGGAGTGCTACCTCCTAATATGATAACTGAAATTAGAGTACTGCTTCTAAATGTGACAACTGGAGATAGAGTATCGCCTCGAAGTGTGATAACTGGAGATGGAGTCCCGCCACTAAATGTGACAACTGCAGTTGGAGTATCACTTTTAAATGTGACAATTGGAGTTGGAATCATACCTCTAAATGTGACATCTGGAGATGGAGTATCACCTCTAAATGTGATAACTAGAGATGGAGTCATACCTCTAAATGTGACAACTGCAGTTGGAGTATCACCTCTAAATGTGATAATTGAAATTGGAATCACACCTCTAAATGTGACAACTGAAGATGGAGTCCCGCCTCAAAATGTGTCAACTGGAGTTGGAGTCCCACCTCTAAATGTGATAACTGGAGATGGAGTCATACCGCTAAATGTGATAACTGGAGATGGAGTATCGCCTCTAAATGTGACAACTGGAGATGGAGTACTGCCTCGAAGTGTGACAACTGGAGTTGGAGTACTGCCTCTGAATGTGACAACTGAAGATGGAGGTACCACCTTGAAGTGTAACAACTGTGGTTGGAGTCACACCTCTAAACGTGACAACTGGAGCTGGAGTTACACCTCTAAAAGAGACAACTGGAGCTGGAGTCACACCTCTTAATGTGACAACTGGAGCTGGAGTCACACCTCTAAACGTGACAACTGGAGATGAAGTACCACTACTAAATATAACAACTATGTTGGATTAACGCCTCTAAATATAACAGCTTACTATTTAGGACTGTTCATCCCTGCGCCCTCATTGGTTGTTAGGATGTTGATGGCTGCCTATGTCATTGATTTTTAGGATTCGTCTCCCATCGATTTCAGTAAAAAATTTCATTAAAGTTCACAGTTTGCAAATTTTTGGCAGTATTCACTGAACCGTGAATTGAACCCAAGCAGAGTCTGTCACTCCCAGGCGCCATTTTGACCGGCTCAGAAGGTGGAAGGAATACAAAGTGTTATGCTTGTCCCTGGAACAGATTGGTGTTTATGGTGCATAATACATTCTTTTGGAGGTTAGCCTTTTAGACGTGCATCCTTTTTTCTTCTTCTCCTTTTTTGTTTTTGGTCCTTTATTATTGTCCTGCATCGGAATCCTTTTGCATGTTCTGCAGCGGGCCCCCTTTATGACCTCTTGGGCCATCCATGGTGGCAGAACGCCAGGGCTTGGTCGCAAATGTGACCTTTGTGACCCTGGTAATTCCGCCACTGACTGCAACACCCATATCCCATTGGTGATACATTGCAACCAACTCCTAACTAGAATCTTCAGGGCCCTGATGCAAGAAACTGGGGCCCTTTCCTCTGAGCCTAGCATCCTACCCTCCGAGCCCGGAGTCCTTCCCCTGGACCCTTCCCCCAGGGTCCTTTCCATTATTCCTGGGGTTCTTTACCCCCATTTTGGGGTCCTTTATTATTGTCCTGCATCGGAACCCTTTTGTATGTTCTTCAGCGGGCCCCCTTCCTGACATCTTGGGCCATCCACGGTGGCAGAACACCAGGGCTTGGTTGCAAATGCGACCTTTGTGACTCTGGTAATTCCGCCACTGACTGAAACACCCATATCCCCTTGGTGATGCATTGCAAATAACTCCTAACTAGAATCTTCAGGGCCCTGATGCAAGAAACTGGGGCCCTTTCCTCTGGTCCTGGGGCCCTTTCCTCTGAGCCTGGGGTCCTACCCTCTGAGCCCGGAACCCTTCCACTAGACCCTTCCCCCATGGTCCATCCCATTAATCCCAGGGCCCTTTACCTCCATTGTGGGGTCCTTTATTATTATCCTGCATCGGAACCCTTTTGCATGTTCTTCAGCAGGCCCCCTTCCTGACATCTTGGGCCATCCACGGCGGCAGAAGGCCAGGGCTTGGTCGCAAATGCGACCTTTGTGATCCTGGTAATTCACTGACGGCAACACCCATATCCCCTTGAATCGTGTGTTTTACCAAGCATTACCGCATCTCAATAGTGAGAATCCATCCTAAAACGGCTTTCCTCTGCAGAGAATGGCGGCATGTATAGACACATTAAGCCTTGCTTTAGAAAATCTTAGTGTCATGCATACACCACTTAGAACTGATACATTTTTGCTGGAAATGTACTTTCACCATTCCATTTTTTTTTTCCATAACAAGAAACTGTCACCCAACTGTCTCGAATCAGTTAAACCGAATCCGGCGGCGGCAGCGTCCCGCTGAGCACGTGCTATGCTGTTGCAATTGGATTTTCTAGTGATCAAACAGTGTGACAGGCGAACAGCGAGTGGGGTCAATCAGAAATACCAAGTCTCGCCCGGCGAGGGGCTTTGTCCCTTCCAGTTACGTCTCACGAGTCGCACAAAATTACATTGGCTTTTTCTTTTTTTTTTTTTTTTTTTTTTTCTTCCTTGCATATGGTAAATGAGGAAAATCCCCCGGCCGACCGCTTTCCTGGAAAGGGCGCGGAGATTGTGCAGGGATGAGAAAATGACATCCAGCGCAATGTGCTTTCACACGATCCCCATTCGCAGAGCTTATTATGTGATGGTATTCCAGGGAGCGGGGGGAAATCTACGGACCTTCTAAGGATCATTGGCATTCCATTTGTATCTTTATTAGAGCCGAGAAAAACGGCAACACGCCAATGGCGGCGAAGAGGGGATTGGTAACAATGGAGCAGTGAAGTAACTTTTATTCGTATATATGTGAAATCTATAGCAGAGACTATTTTTGGGACCCCAAGCTACATACGTACTATTTCCCACCCCCGCTCAATCACCTACCTATTAATCCTGGAAATTTTACCAAAATTTTGTTGAAAATTTGTACTAATTTCAATATGCAAATGCATTAAAACATGTTTGTAAAATTAGGAGAGCATAGTGCTCTTATCTGTACAGAAAATGGTGTTACTAAACCCCGGACCATGCATTGACTATATCCAGTCTAGTGAATACAGGGTCCGGGGAGACCGGATATAGTGAATGCGGGATCCGGGGAGACCGGATATAGTGAATGCAGGGTCTGGGGAGAGCGGATATAGTGAATGCAGGGTCCGGGGAGAGCGAATATAGTGAATGCAGGGTCCGGGGAGACCGGATATAGTGAATGCAGGCTCCGGGGAGACCAGATACAGTGAATGCAGGGTCCGGGGAGAGCAGATACAGTGAATGCAGGGTCCGGGGAGAGCGGATATAGTGAATGCAGGGTCCGGGGAGAGCGGATATAGTGAATGCAGGGTCTGGGGAGAGCGGATATAGTGAATGCAGGGTCCGGGGAGACCGGATATAGTGAATGCAGGGTCCGGGGAGAGCGGATATAGTGAATGCGGGGTCCGGGGAGAGTGGATATATAGTGAATGCGGGGGGTTCGGGGAGAGCGGATATAGTGAATGCAGGGTCCGGGGAGACCGGATATAGTGTATGCAGGGTCCGGGGAGACCAGATATAGTGAATGCAGGGTCCGGGGAGAGCGGATATAGTGTATGCAGGGTCCGGGGAGACCAGATATAGTGAATGCAGGGTCCGGGGAGAGCGGATATAGTGAATGCAGGGTCCGGGGAGAGCGGATATAGTGAATGCAGGGTCTGGGGTTAAGTAACACATTAAGTTCACTTTTGAAATTCAAACCAAAAAAAATGATGTCAATATTTGGGTTATGAAAGTGTTGTCCAGCTTGGGAACACTTAAGAGGAGAATGTGTGATATTTGTACATGGATATAAGTTCTCTAGTTCTGCTCTGAACTCTGTAAAGGAGATAAATTAAGGAGGATTTGTGGCTGCCTGGCCTCCTCAGATAGCCGAGGTTAGTGGTATAGACTGCGCACATCGTGAATCAATCTTATTTACGCCAGCAGGTGTTGTGGGCATTTTATTTCATTTTGTGAATATATCTCCTGAGTGTGTTTGATGTGATTGTTTCTGTAAATGCGGCCTGAGATGGATTGAGAAATGGGATTCGCTCATACAGGTAATAGATTGGAAAAGTTGCCCAACAGAGTCTTTCTTAAAGAGGACCCATCCTAAAAAAGCTGCATTGCACAAAACTCGCTGCCTAGGTCACATGGGCTGCAGCTGCCAATCAGTCGATTGTGTTCAATCAGCATTTAGAAAGTTAAAGTGTTACTAAACCCTGGACCCTGCATTCACTATATCTGGTCTCCCCGGACCCTGCATTCACTATATCTGGTCTCCCCGGACCCTGCATTCACTATATCCGCTCTCCCCGGACCCTGCATTCACTATATCTGGTCTCCCCGGACCCTGCATTCACTATATCTGGTCTCCCCGAACCCTGCATTCACTATATCTGGTCTCCCCGGACCCTGCATTCACTATATCTGCTCTCCCCAGTCCCCGCATTCACTATATCCGCTCTCCCCGGACCCTGCATTCACTATATCTGCTCTCCCCAGTCCCCGCATTCACTATATCCGCTCTCCCCGGACCCTGCATTCACTATATCTGCTCTCCCCGGACCCTGCATTCACTATATCCGCTCTCCCCGGACCCTGCATTCACTATATCCACTCTCCCCAGTCCCCGCATTCACTATATCTGCTGTCCCCAGTCCCCGCATTCACTATATCCGCTCTCCCCGGACCCTGCATTCACTATATCTGGTCTCCCTGGACCCTGCATTCACTATATCCACTCTCCCCGGACCCTGCATTCACTATATCGGGTCTGCCCAAACCCTGCATTCACTATATCTGGTTTCCCCAAACCCTGCATTCACTATATCTGGTCTCCCCGGACCCTGCATTCACTATATCTGGTCTCCCCGAACCCTGCATTCACTATATCTGGTCTCCCCGGACCCTGCATTCACTATATCTGCTCTCCCCAGTCCCCGCATTCACTATATCCGCTCTCCCCGGACCCTGCATTCACTATATCTGGTCTCCCCGGACCCTGCATTCACTATATCTGCTCTCCCCAGTCCCCGCATTCACTATATCCGCTCTCCCCGGACCCTGCATTCACTATATCTGCTCTCCCCAGTCCCCGCATTCACTATATCCGCTCTCCCCGGACCCTGCATTCACTATATCTGGTCTCCCCAGACCCCGCATTCACTATATCCGCTCTCCCCGGACCCTGCATTCACTATATCTGGTCTCCCCGGACCCTACATTCACTATATCTGGTCTCCCCGAACCCTGCATTCACTATATCTGCTCTCCCCGGACCCTGCATTCACTACATCTGCTCTCCCCGGACCCTGCATTCACTATATCCGCTCTCCCCGGACCCTGCATTCACTATATCCGCTCTCCCCGGACCCTGCATTCACTATATCCACTCTCCCCAGTCCCCGCATTCACTATATCTGCTCTCCCCAGTCCCCGCATTCACTATATCCGCTCTCCCCGGACCCTGGATTCACTATATCCGCTCTCCCCGGACCCTGCATTCACTATATCTGGTCTCCCTGGACCCTGCATTCACTATATCCACTCTCCCCGGACCCTGCATTCACTATATCTGGTCTGCCCAAACCCTGCATTTACTATATCTGATCTCCCCAAACCCTGCATTCACTATATCTGGTCTCCCCAAACCCTACATTCACTATATCCGCTCTCCCGGACCCTGCATTAACTATTTTACTATATCTACTCTCCCCGGACCCGGCATTCACTATATCCACTCTCCCCGGACCCGACATTCACTATATCTGGTCTTCCTGGATCCCGCATTCACTATATCTGGTCTTCCTGGATCCCGCATTCACTATACGCTTATTCAAGAAAAAGCTAAAACCTGTTTGAAGACGAAGAAAAAACGGGGTGAACAGTGTGCATCTGTTACTGCCAGCCATGGATGGTTTAACAGATTTAAGGCTAGAGTCCTTCACAACGTAAAAGTAAGTGGTGAGGCTGCAAGTGCAGATACCATAGCTGCTCAAGAATTTCCAGCAACACTTGGAGAAATTGACGGGCGGGTGCCATTAATTCTAATGGCATGCCACCCGCACTGGAAATCACAACCGTACTGGAAACAGAGGTTCCCGTGCGGGCTGCATTTTCGGAAGGAGTGCAGGGACTTCTTCCCTGCATGTCACAGGGCACGGGAGTCCTTTCAAATGAATGGGCTCTCGTGCCCGTGCAAAACTTGACCTGCGTGGCCACATATATGTGAACCAGGGCTGAAAGGATGGGTTCAACTTCCAAAAATAGATATGAATTTAAAAAAATGACCATCAAGTTCTACCGAAAGACAAAATAACATTTAGAACATGCCCTGCTGTTCTTCCGAAGCAATCTAAAGAAGACTTCCCTTGCATCCATTCTCCATGCCTGCCATTTTTGGAGGGATATTGGAGATGTCTATATAGATACCATTCCACATTCGAAAATCCCCATCTCTGCAGAAAACCTTACCTGAAAATAAAAGGAAATTTGAACAGACATCCTTTCAAATCCCTATACATGTCTCAGGGGACGGCAGGAGAAAGGTGAAATGCGATGGGTTCTATTTGCACACTTGGTTGACCTGATTGCCTACATCAATGTTTCCAAGTGCGCATTTATTCTCTAAAAAAGAAAGAAAACCGGTGTCAGTGGTAGATTCTCATTGTTGGATTCCCACTTTGTTCTCCAATGGCCCTACATAAGCAATTTTCTCCCGTTATCAGTTTGCAACACCTGAACCTTCTCTAAATGTAAGAAATCACCACAGTTTAAGCACAGCTGAGTGAAACAAAAATCTAATTAGCAGCTTTATCAGCACTATAGAGGATCAAAGCAGGTGAATGAGATTATAAGTAACGGAATATATTCCAGCGGGACCGGGGAGAAGGAGAGCGCATTGGAATAAAAGTTCCCCGTCACTTTGTTTCATTAGCAGGAGATTTAGAAGTAAATGGGATGTATTTGCTGGAGCAGCGTAGTCATCATCAGACATCAGCGCTTTCATCTGCTGAGCTTCTGCCAGTCTGTCATCATTAGTCCTGTTTGTTTGTTTCACTTATTAGAAATTAGAGTTCTATTTGCCCGCCTAGATTGGGCAGAATTGGTTCAGCAATACGCTACGGGCTTAGAATAAATGCTACTTCTGTTTTATTTGCTGACTCAGGACCCATTCATGTCCAGACTGTTGGGAAAGAGAGGAACACTATATAGGCAAGGTTGGTGGACATCTGAACATCGCACATCTACCTAAAGTATGTGGAACCCCTCAAAATTATTGAAGCTACAGAGCTACAGCACACCAAGATGTTTTAGACAATTGTGGTCTGGACGACCACAATTGTCTAAAACAGAAAAGGACCTTCTCCAAACTCAAGGCTGGACGCCTTGAGTTTGGAGAAGGTCCTTTTCTGTTTTAGCATGTGTCCCTGTGTACCAAGCCAACTCCATAGACATAGTTTGACCAGTTCCACATGGAGAAACTCGAGTGGCCTCCACAAAGCCATGACCTCAACCTTACTGAACACCTTTAGGATAAATTGGAACACCAATGGTTAGCCTGGTCTTCTCACCCAACATCAAGACCTGACCCTGCAAATTACCTCAACCCTACGGAACACCTTTTGGATGAAATGGAACTAGGGTTGCCAGCCCATCCCCTTAAAACCAAACACATATTAATTACACAGGTTCTGAGGCTAATTTATTGCTGATAAGGCACTAAGCCCTGGTTCACATACGTGCGGGTGGAGCTGCTGTGGATCCACACGAAAATCCAAAGGAATGCGGGTTCTAATGGCATGCCACCCACACTGGAAAACACAACCGTACTGAGAAAGGAGGTTCCCGTGTGGGCTGCTTTTTCAGAAGTAGTGCAGGGACTTCTTCCCTGCGTGTCACGGGGCACAAGAGTCCATTTAAATGAATGGGCTCTCATGCCCGTGCAAAATGCGGCCTACACGGCATATATGTGAACCAGGGGTAATTGAGTTTTATTACCACGTTAATCAGCCACAGAACCTGTGTAATTAATATGTGTTTGGTTTTAAAGGGATGAGGTGGCAACCCTAAATGGTATGCAGATGTTGAACTAGATATTCTCATGCAACATTAGTACCTGACCTCACAAATTACCTCAACTCTACTGAACACCTTTGGATAAATTGGAATGCCAGTGGTCAGCCAGGTCTTATCTAACATCAGTGCCGGACCTCACAAATTACCTGAACCCTACTGAACACCTTTTGGATTAAATGGAATGCAGATGGTTACCCAGATGTTCTTATCCAACATCAGTACCTGACCTCTTAAATGATCCCAACCCTCCTGAACACCTTTGGGATGAATTGGAACACCAATGGTCAGCCAACATCAGTACCTGACCTCACAAATGACCTCAACTCTACTATACACCTTTGGGATGAATTGGAACACCAATGGTCAGCCAACATCAGTACCTGACCTCACAAATGGCCTCAATCAGGGGCGGACTGACCATTTGGAAACCCAAGCACTGCCCGAGGACCCGGGGTCAGTAGAGGGCCCCATGAGATGCCCCTGGTACCTTTTTTCATAGGCTTTTTTGAGTTTGGGCAAGGACACAAGGGACCCCATGATCCCCTATACCCCGGGGGCCCCATGAGTTGTCAGTCCACCCCTGGCCTCAACCCTACAAATCACCTTTGGAAAAAATTGGAACACCAATGGTCAGCTAGGTCTTCTCATCCAACACCAGAACCTGACCTCACACATGACCTCAACTCTACTGAACATCGTTTGGATGAAATGGAATGCTGATGGTAAACTAGGTCTTCTCATTCAACATCAGTCAAACCATGCAAACATCAGCACTCAGAAATGCTGAATAAAGTCTCACGGGATGGATCACTGGTGTAGGTGCTGCCCTCCTCAAATCGGGGAATCCTCAAGCCACTAGAAAAACACAGAAGAGGGCACACACACTTGCGTGATACATGAGTTTTATTAAAAGAAGAAGACAAATGGGTACTTACAAACCGAACGTAAAATCAGGCATAACACACAAGAGCTTCAGTGTGAAGTAGTGGCAATCCTGTTGCCTGTGTGATTTTTGGCTGTGTTCACAAAAGTCTGACACAAATCAGACCTTGCCTCAGCTGCCTCTCACTTTATAATTGATCTGATCACTAGAGGAGGGGAGACTGAGGAAAAACTTCCTCCTTCCTTCAGCAGACTGATAGCCTCATCTCAGCCTAGGCAAAGTCCCTGGACAAGTGAGTCAATGATACCTATTCATTGATAAGAGGTGTATATTTTCTGAATAATGATACTATTGCTGCATATTGTGACATCACAGGAATGAATTCCTGCAGACATTGGAAGGTCCACTGAACATCACTAATAAGAAAGTATTAGTGTCGTTTATCAGTGTCGCAGCTCCTGAGTGCTCGCCGCAGCGGAGGAGACGGCAGACCTCTAATTTACTGGTAAGGAGGCTTTTACAAGAGAACAGAAAATACTCTTAATGACACATCCCGGCGTGGAGAGAGCACACCAAAAATGAATTTCCAGCTGCACCTTCACCCGAGGCTGCCTTTAATTTTTGTGAAAACGAATTCTCAATTTATTTCATCATTAATGTTAGAAGTGGCTTTGGGTTGAAAGGTTTTGTAATCAGCGATGGAAAATTGCGGTAAAAGAATTGAAATGTTCAGATTCCGCCAAGGATGTCCCGCTATCTCGGTTTTGTTTCATTTTTAATCATTATAACAGAACTAGATGGTTACAGTCGATGTAAAGTGGAATTTGTGAAGGAAACGTTTCTCATTGGGGGACAAAGTTCTTAAAAGGCGCCATTACAATTATATTGGAGTCATCCATTAAACTAAACCCATTTACAATTTGTATTGGTGGGTTTGGAGAGCAGCAAACGATCCTTCAACAAATCAGCCCAACTTTTCATTGAAAGCCCCGATCAATGGACTGAAGCTGTTCTATTTTGGACATATTATGAGATTGCTGAGATCTCTGCATTGAGTTCCTGGGTCACCAGCTGTGCCCATTATGAGGGGTTCCCACCATCCCTGCCCTGAGTTCCCGGGTCTGCACACCTGCTGTGCCCATTATGAGGGGTTCCCGCCATCCCTGCACTGAGCCCCGGGGTCGGCACACTTGCTGTGCCCATAATGAGGGGTTCCCACCATCCCTGCCCTGAGTTCCCAGGTCTGCACACCTGCTGTACCCATTATCAAGGGTTCTCACATGCCTGCACTGTGTTCCTGGGTCTCTCCACCTGCTATGCCCATTATGAGGGGTTCCAACCATCCTTGAGCAGAGTTACCAAGTATGCACAACTGCTTTGCCCATTATGAGGGGCTCCCACAATCCCTGCACTGAGTTTCTGGGTCTGTACACCTGCTGTGCCCATTATGAGGAGTTCCCACCATCCCTGCACTGTGTTCCTGGGTCTCTACACCTGCTGTGTCCATTGTGAGGTGTTCCCACCATCTCTGCACTGAATTCACTGGTCTGTACACCTGTTGTGCCCATTATAAAAGGCTCTTACATGCCTGCACTCCACCTGCTATGTTTATTATGAGGGATGCCCACCATCCTTGAGCAGACTTCCCAGGTCTACACACCTGCTGTGCCCATTATGAGAGGCTTCAACCATCCTTTGCTGAGTTCCCGGGTCTGTACACCTGCTGTGCCCATTATGAGGGGTTCACAACCACCCTGTGCTGAGGTCCAGGGTCTCTCCACCTGCTATGCCTATTATGAGGGGTACCCACTAGGGGCAGACTGACCATTTGGAAACTCGGGCACTGCCCGAGGGCCCGGGGTCAGTAGGGGGCCCCATGAGATGCCCCTGGTACCCTTTTCATAGGCTTTTTTGAGTTTGGGCAAGGACACAGGGGGCCCCATGGTCCCCTATTGCCCGGGGGCCCCATGAGTTGTCAGTCCACCCCTGGTACCCACCATCCTTGAGCAGACTTCCCAGGTCTACACACCTGCTGTGCCCATTATTAGGGGCTTCAACCATCCCTCGCTGAGTTCCCTGGTCTGTACACCCGCTGTGCCCATTATGAGGGGTTCACAACCACCCTGTGCTGAGGTCCAGGGTCTCTCCACCTGCTATGCCTATTATGAGGGATACCCACCAGGGGCAGACTGACCATTTGGAAACTCGGGCACTGCCCAAGGGCCCGGGGTCAGTAGGGGGGCTCCATGAGATGCCCCTGGTACCCTTTTCATAGGCTTTTTTGAGTTTGGGCAAGGACACAGGGGCCTCATGATCCCCTATTGCCCGGGGGCCCCATGAGTTGTCAGTCCACCCCTGGTACCCACCATCCTTGAGCAGACTTCCCAGGTCTGCACACCTGCTGTGCCCATTATGAGAGGCTTCAACCATCCCTCGCTGAGTTCCCGGGTCTGTACACCTGCTGTGCCCATTATGAGGGGTTCACAACCACCCTGTGCTGAGTTCCCGGGTCTCTCCACCTGCTATGCCTATTATGAGGGGTACCCACCAGGGGCAGACTGACCATTTGGAAACTCGGGCACTGCCCAAGGGCCCGGGGTCAGTAGGGGGCCCCATGAGATGCCCCTGGTACCCCTTTTCATAGGCTTTTTTGAGTTTGGGCACGGACACAGGGGCCCCATGATCCCCTATTGCCCGGGGGCCCCATGAGTTGTCAGTCCACCCCTGGTACCCACCATCCTTGAGCAGACTTCCCAGGTCTACACACCTGCTGTGCCCATTATGAGAGGCTTCAACCATCCCTCGCTGAGTTCCCGGGTCTGTACACCCGCTGTGCCCATTATGAGGGGTTCACAACCACCCTGTGCTGAGTTCCCGGGTCTCTCCACCTGCTATGCCTATTATGAGGGCTTCCACCATCCTTGAGAGAAGTTACCAAGCCTGTACAACTGTTGTGCCCATTATAAGCAGCTCTGACCATTCATGCACTGAATTCCTAGGCCTACACACCAACTGTGCCCATTATCAGGAGCTCCCACCATCCCTGCTTTAAATTTCCAGGTCTGCATACCCACTGTGTCCATTATGAGGGGTTCCCACAATCCCTGTGCTGAGTTCCAGGGGCTCCCACCATCCTTGCTGGACATGCAAAGGTAGATGGAGCACCCAATTCTCCCATGTGGATAGTAAAAAGAGTCAGGACCAGGGGTGGACTGACAACTCATGGGGCCCCCGGGCAATAAGGGATCATGGGCCCCTGTTTCCTTGCCCACACTCACAAAAAGCCTATAAAAGGTACCAGGGGCATCTCATGGGGCCCCCTACTGACCCCGGGCCCCCGGGCAATAGGGGATCATGGGGCCCCTGTGTCCTTGCCCAAACTCAAAAAAGCCTATGAAAAAGGTACCAGGGGAATCTCATGGGGCCCCCTACTGACCCCGGGCCCTCAGGCAGTGCCCGAGTGCTCGAATGGTCAGTCTGCCCATGGTCAGGACTGATGGTGAGGAGATCT